CTGCTATCTTCCTTATCCCTCACATCCAGTATTGTTTCTTGTGGTGAAACATGACTCTCAAACTCTGAATGGTCTTTTTTCATTGAAAGCTTTTCTCCCTTGATCACTAGGATTGTTTCTGCACTCCTTAGAAAGGTTCGCAAGCAAGGGACAACATTTATATCATCTTGGTTTTATATCCTGATCTCAATAGTAACCTTGCTTATATGCTTTTCAAACCTGCTGCTGTTTATTTAAGTATTTATTAACTATTGAAACTGTGTCTGTGTAAGCATATATATTAAATAAAATATTTATCTCCAACTCATCACCATCAATCTTGATGAATATCAGGAAAAACGTACTTTTTCTAGCAAACAAAATGATGACGTGGTTTGTCATTCAAGTAATGCGTCATCATCTTTTCTGAAGCATCTACTTTGCCAGATGCGTGTTTTGTTTGACCTCTTGTTCTTGAGAGATACTATGCTTCACAGAGCCATCGTGAATACAGAAACCTCACTTTCATGACATATATTTATAGTAGGACCTAGTGGTGGTAGAGCACCTTGGTTCTAATCTTGGTCATCTGAGGACCTATGGCACAGCACAGGTCCAAAGTTGTGCAATGATAAAACATTGGAGAGTTGGTACTCAGAGCAACTACTCCATGTGAATTTTTGTTAAATAAAGGTTCATAGACAACATGATATAATTTGTAACACTGCTATGTGCTTGCTAGTAGAAAAAATTTAGCCAGGACTTTCAGAGAGGATCCCTCAGCTCCACACCTGCAAATTCTGCTGAAAGGTTAGGTTAGGTTACCTGGTAGAAAGATAAGAGATATTCTTATCTCCCAAGAATTCCTGGTTCTCTTAAACCTGCATATACCTTTTTAGGTCAAGTAAATCCCATTTCACAGAGATCTTCAGAATTGAGATTATGTCCTGCATCACTGTATCATGTATGAAAGTGAGATACATTTTCATGGATGAGTCAAAAAAAGAGGGCAAAATAAAACATTATCAAATTAGTGAAAGAAAGAAAATCTGAGTATTTGCCATCAGCAAACCCTCACCATAGGAAATACTAAAGGATTTATCAGTAATCTGAACCCAGATAGAGGGTGTGAAAAGCAAGAAGGAATATGATGACTTTATAAAATAATAATGACTTTATAAAATAATAATAATTGTGATTTGTGGGTTTAAGATATACTTGAAATAACAGTAACAATATATAAGTTAGGGGGAAGCAAATAGAATTTAAAAAGTTTAAAGCCCTTGTACAGTCCAGGATGAGGGTAAACATCCTGAATAACTTTAGACATTGATGTTAGGAATGAATATTTGAATTTCCGGAGTAATCACTTAAAGAATAGAAACACAGTGTGTAACCTACAAACTAGCAGACAGGGGGTAGAAAATGGAATGAGAAAAAATACATAAACAATCTAGAAGAAAGAAGAGGGAAAAAAGAAAGTGCAAATACAAGGCACAAAATTATAGATTTAAGGGCTTCCCTGGTGGTGCAGTGGTTGAGAGTCCGCCTGCCGATGCAACGGACACGGGTTCGTGCCCCGGTCCAGGAAGAACCCACGTGCCGCGGAGCGGCTGGGCCCGTGAGCCATGGCCGCTGAGCCTGCATGTCCGGATCCTGTGCTCCACAACGGGAGAGGTCACAACAGTCAGAGGCCCGTGTACGGCAAAAAAAAAAAAGATTTAAACCCAACAATTTAGCATACAAATAAAATGTAAATTGACTAAATGATTCTTTTAAAATTACAGATATAGGGGCTTCCCTGGTGGCACAGTGGTTGAGAATCTGCCTGCTAATGCAGGGGAAACGGGTTCGAGCCCTGGCCTGGAAGGATCCCACATGCCACGGAGCAACTAGGCCCGTGAGCCACAACTACTGAGCCTGCGCGTCTGGAGCCTGTGCTCCGCAACAAGAGAGGCCGCGATAGTGAGAGGCCCGCGCACCGCGATGAAGAGTGGCCCCCGCTTGCCACAACTAGAGAAAGCCCTCGCACAGAAACGAAGACCCAACACAACAAAAATTAATTAATTAATTAATTAACTCCTACCCCCAACATCTTCAAAAAAAAAAAATTACAGATATAAAAATATCTAACTATACTATTTTTTTAACTATACTATTTTTATAAGAGATACATCCAAACCATAAGGGTATAGATTGTTTGAAAGTGAAAGGTTGCAAGAAGAAATACTAAGTGTTTAGTTGGGAAAACAGAAGCCTCTCTCAGCATTTTGAGTAAAGAGATTTATTTAATGTACGGAATTAGAATCTTACACAATCTTTGAAATGGCTGGGTGATCAGGGAGCAAAGGTCAGCAAGCTGCTTTCACAGGAAATCTGCTTTCAGGAAAGTAACAATGGGTGATTCTCAGGAAGATTAATGGCTGCTCCTTCTCATCCGGCTTCCAAATCTTGTGCAGTAGCCCCTCATTGGCTGAATTTAATCCAGAATCATAAAAGGAAAGAGATACTGGGAACTGTAGTTCCAAGCTTCCCCATTGAAGCAGAGGTAAATGCTGAAGCAGAGGTAAGTGATAACACCTAGCTGATAACAAGCAATCCAGCCCAAAAGGAAATAGGTATAGCTATGTTAACATCAGACCAAAACATCAGACTCTAAGGTTAAAAGCATTACTGGAGATAAAGAGAATCACTTCATAATACAAAAAATAAAGATTCAATTCACCAGGAAAATACAATATTTGAACTTGTACTTGCCTAACAGCCAAGCCCCAAAATATGTAAAGCAAAAACTGATAGAACTACAAGGAAAAACAGATATAACCACAATCATACTGGATGGATTTTATGTACCTTTCTCAGAAATAAATTAGAAATTCAGCAAGGAGATACAGCGTTTGAAAATGTGAAAAAAATTTGACTTAATGGACATATATAGGGCAATGTGCCCAATAACTCCATTCTTTTATAGCACACACAAAACATTTTCAAATACATATTAACCATATCCTGGGCCATAAAGCAAGCCCCAAACAATTTCTAAGTCCAAATTGTACACAACATATTTTATGATCTCAATAAAATTAAGCTGGAAAACAGCAAAGAGGTGACACCATCTTTTAGAAATTAAGAATCATGGGCTTCCCTGGTGGTGCCGTGGTTGAAAGTCCGCCTGCCGATGCAGGGGACACGGGTTTGTGCCCCGGTCTGGGAAAATCCCACATGCCGCGGAGCAGCTGGGCCCGTGAGCCATGGCCACTGAGCCTGCGCATCCAGAGCCTGTGCTCCGCAACAGGAGAGGCCGCAGCAGTGAGAGACCCGCGTACCACAAAAAAAAAAAGAAATTAAGAATCATACTTCTAAATGAGTCATGAGTCATAAAAAATTAAGAAATATTTAGAGCAAATGATAATAAAAATGCATTTCGTAATATGTGGTATCAATGAAAGCAGCATTTAGAGGAAAATTTATAGCCTTAATGCAAGTGTTAGAAAAGCAGAAAGACTGAAAAGTAAATTTCTAGACATGATGTGAAAAAGCAGAAAATTATGAGCCATAACCAAGAGGAAAATCAGTCAATAGGAACAATAAAGTGAAACAGTAATTTTATAAATATACTCAATGGGGAAGGAGTCATGAGCAAGAATTCAGGGGTGGAGAGAACAGAAAACAGATAGGGAGGGGGGAAAAAGAGAAAGGGGCCAATGACTATGGTAGAGAAGAGAACTAGAGTTTAATGAAATGGACTTTGAAGGACTTTTTGAATAAGGAAGTTCTAATATTTTCTTTTAAATTATCTGCCATTGATCCTTCTCCTCACTCCTCCAATCTTCATTCAACATCTATTTGAAAGAGCTGGCTCATATCTAGGGTTAGCAGGTGAGAATCAAGAAGGGATGTGTCCCTAAAGAGATGAAAAAAACAGCTACAAGACAAGATGTGGAGAGTGACAGAGTGTTGATAATTGAAGCTAAAAACTGAAGTGAGAGACAGAAAAGTAAGGCCCTGGGACTTCATAGCCATCTTGCAGAAGCATAAGAGTGCCCCAAGCGGATTTTACCTAGACCTGAAGGTTCAGGGTGGCCATCTGACATATTTTTATTATATGGGCCTGAGGGAAATAATATAAGTCGGGAACATAAAACTCTCCGACAGGTCCTTGATTTGCATAACCTCTCCCTGGTACAGATCTACCCAGGAAGCAAAGTGGTCATGGGCAGGCTGCTTAGCGAGTCTGGAGAAAAAAAGGATGCACTAAATGACCAGAGTCCTCCATGGCACTAGCTGATACAGCCATGGCCACACCTGGGCCATTTTAGAACATAACGAGGAGGTTGGGTGTGTGTGGAGGGGTGGGACGCGGTGAATCAAGGTCACAGAGCTGTTACGTGAGAAAGCTGGGATTTGAACCCAGGCATGTCTGCTCCAATGCCTACACTCTGTCCCCTACATCACAGGGGACCTTCCAGAGTACTTCCCCCCTAGATGGTATAGATGGCTCAAATCCCCTTCAAATAATTGTCTGAGAAAAGAGACACCAGTGTGGAATGGTAACTCGGCCAATCCATACTGGAGCTCCTTGAAAGGCCCAGGGGCCTTTTCTGGCAAAGACCTACAATTTATGTCTGCATTTTGCTATTTGTTTTCCATATGTCTCACATCATTTTGTTCCTCCATTCCTCCTTTACTGCCTTCTTTTGCATTAAGTGGATCTTTTCTAGTGTACCATTTTAATTTCCTTGTTGATTTTAACTGTTTTTTAGATTACTTTTCTTAGTGATTGCTCTAGGAATTATAATGGGCATTTTAATCACAATCTACCTCAGATTAATGCTAACTTAATTACAGTAGAATAGAGAAATTTACTCCAGTATAGCTCTATTCCCTACCCCTTTCTTTGGCAAAGATCTATGAAGAATGCATCACTGGGAGACCTCTGAGAAATAGGATAAACTATTTGCAGTTTAATTATAAATACCTTGTTAGTGAACTGATAACACATTATTCAAAGTCGTGCAAAGTCATGATAAACAAGAGTTTTACTGAGTTCTATGCCAAAAGCTCTATATTCCCCAACATATGCTGTGAAACGATAAAAACACAGCTATGAGTGCAATCCCAGGGGAAGAGGGTGGGCACTTCAGCAATTCATAGCACCTCAAAGCAGCTATGCAAGGCTGGAATACATTAGATGCTCAATAGTCCATGATGCAGAGCTCTTGGGTCACCAAGTAATGGGATGCGCTTCCTCAGCTGAGGTGAGATTTAGTAAGTCTTGAATGGTGTTTTGTTCATGGACACTGAGCTGCTGTTCTTTGGCTAGATCCAGGGCTCTCATGGCGTATTCCTTTGCCTGAAATAGAATTGCAGTGACAAAAGGAAGTTGTCACAGAAAAGCATTACATTGGAAGGCCCATCTCTGCTCGACCACAAAAACATGGGAAAGGACCCTTCAGCTTCTCACACCAGCCACTGAGTTCTTTGTGGAAACTTGTGAACATACACTGGGTCTTCACAGCTAACCACAGATGTGGGATGAGGGTGAGAAGGGTTAGGGAACAGGAAAACATGGTCACTGAGCTTACAGTGGACAAAGCCTCTTTTCTACATTTCAGGGACCTTTGAACCAACATTGGGAGGCATAGAAATGGAAGGTGCCACAAGTAAGTTGCCATCTGGGGGGCCAAGCAGCCCAGAGATTTGACTTGGGCAGAGGCTTCACAGGACATCTTGGGACAGGCTCTAGCTGGCCCTTCCGCCCTCCCTCCCTTCCCCCCTCCATCTCTTCCTCTTCTTTTTTTTTAACATCTTTATTGGACTACAATTGCTTTACAATGCTGTGTTAGTTTCTCCTGTAAAACAAAGTGAATCAGCTATACGTATACATATAGCCCCATATCGCCTCCCTCTTGCATCTCTCTCCCACCCTCCCTACCACCCCGCTAGATGGTCACAAAGCACTGAGCTGATCGCCCTGTGCTATGAAGCTGCTTCCCACTAGCTAGCGATTTTACATTTGGTAGTGTATATATGTCCACGCCACTCTCTCACTTCGTCCCTGCTTACCCTTCCCCCTCCCCATGTCCTCAAGTCCATTCTCTACGTATGCGTCTTTATTCCTGTCCTGTCCCTAGGTTCTTCATAACCATTTTTTTCTTTAGATTTCATATATATGTGTTAGCATATGGTATTTGTTTTTCTCTTTCTGACTTACTTCACTCTGTATGACTGACTCTAGGTCCATCCACCTCACTACAAATAACTCAATTTCATTTCTTTTAATAGCTGAGTAATATTCCATTTTATATATGTACCATATCTTTACCCATTCATCTGTTGATGAACACTTAAGTTGCTTCCATGTCCTGGCCATTGTAAATAGAGCTGCAATGAACGTTGTGGTACATGACTCTTTATGAATTAAGGTTTTCTCAGGGTATATGCCCAATAGTGGGATTGCTGGGTCGTATGGTAGTTCTGTTTTTAGTTTTTCAAGGAACATCCATACTGTTCTCCATAGTGGCTGTATCAATTTACATTCCCACCAACAGTGCAAGAGGGATCCTTTTCTCCACACCCTCTCCAGCATTTATTGTTCGTAGATTTTTTGATGATGGCCATTCTGACTGGTGTGAGGTGATACCTCATTGTAGTTTTGATTTGCATTTCTCTAATGATTAGTGATGTTAAGCATCCTTTCATGTGTTTGTTGGCAATCGGTATATCTTCTTTGGAGAAATGTTTAGTTAGGTCTTCTGCCCATTTTTGGATTGGGTTGTTTGTTTTTTAGATGTTGAGCTGCTTCTATATTTTGGAGATTAATCCTTTGCCAGCTGCTTTGTTTGCAAATATTTTCTCCCATTCTGAGGGTTGTCTTTTCGTCTTGTTTATGGTTTCCTTTGCTGTGCAAAAGCTTTTAAGTTTCATTAGGTCCCACTGGTTTATTTTGGTTTTTATTTCCCTTTCTCTAGGAGGTGGGTCAAAAAGGATCTTGCTGTGATTTATGTCATAGAGTGTTCTGCCTATGTTTTCCTCTAAGAGTTTGATAGTGTCTGGCCTTACATTTAGGTATTTGATCCATTCTGAGTTTATTTTTGTGTATGGTGTTAGGGAGTGTTCTAATTTCATTCTTTTAAACGTAGCTGTCCAGTTTTCCCAGCACCACTTATTGAACAGGCTGTCTTTTCTCCATTGTATATTCTTGCCTCCTTTATCAAAGATAAGGTGACCATATGTGCGTGGGTTTATCTCTGGGCTTTCTATCCTGTTCCACTGATCTATATTTGTTTTTGTGCCAGTACCATACTGTCTTGATTACTGTAGCTTTGTAGTATAGTCTGAAGTCAGGAAGCCTGATTCCTCCAGCTCTGTTTTTCTTTCTCAAGATTGCTTTAGCTATTCGGGGTCTTTTGTGTTTCCATACAAATTGTGAAATTTTTTGTTCTAGTTCTGTGAAAATTGCCATTGGTAGTTTGATAGGGATTGCACTGAATCTGTAGATTGCTTTGGGTAGTAGAGTCATTTTCACAATGTTAATTCTTCCAATCCAAGAACATGGTATATCTCTCCATCTGTTTGTATCATCTTTAATTTCTTTCATCAGTGTCTTATCGTTTTCTGCATACAGGTCTTTTGTCTCCTTAGGTAGGTTTATTCTTAGGTATTTTATTCTTTTTGTTGCAATGGTAAATGGGAGTGTTTCCTTAATTTCTCTTTCAGATATTTCATCATTAGTATGAAGGAATGCAACAGATTTCTGTGCATTAATTTTGTATCCTGCTACTTTACCAAATTCATTGATTAGCTCTAGTATTTTTCTGGTAGCATCTTTAGGATTCTCTGTGTATAGTATCATGTCATCTGCAAACAGTAACGGTTTTACTTCTTCTTTTCCGATGTGGATTCCTTTTATTTCTTTTTCTTCTCTGATTGCTGTGGCTAAAACTTCCAAAACTATGTTGAACAATAGTGGTGAGAGTGGGCAACCTTGTCTTCTTCCTGATCTTAGTGGAAATGGTTTCAGTTTTTCACCATGGAGAATGATGTTGGCTCTGGGTTTGTCATATATGGCCTTTATTATGTTGAGGTAAGTTCCCTCTATGCCTACTTTTTGGAGGGTTTTTATCATAAATGGGTGTTGAATTTTGTTGAAAGCTTTTTCTGCATCTATTGAGATGATCATACTGTTTTTCTCCTTGTTTGTTAATATGGTTTTTCACATTGATTGATTTGCATATATTGAAGAATCCTTGCATTCCTGGGATAATCCCCAATTGATCATGGTGTATGATCCTTTTAATGTGCTGTTGGATTCTGTTTGCTAGTTTTTTGTTTTGTTTGTTTTGTGTTTTTTTTTTTGTGCGGTATGCAGGCCTCTCAGTGTTGTGGCCTCTCCCATTGTGGAGCACAGGCTCTGGGTACGCAGGCTCAGCGTCCAAGGCTCACGAGCCCAGCCGCTCCGCGGCATGTGGGATCCTCCCGGACTGGGGCACCAACCCATGTCCCCTGCATCGGCAGGCGGATTCTCAACCACTGCGCCACCAGGAAAGCCCTGTTTGCTAGTATTTTGTGGAGGATTTTTGCATCTAAGTTCATCAGTGATATTGGCCTGTAGTTCTCTTTCTTTGTGGCATCTTTGTCTGGTTTTGGCATCAGGGTGATGGTGGCCTCATAGAATGAGTTTGGGAGTGTTCCTCCCTCTGCTATATTTTGGAAGAGTTTGAGAAGGATAAGTGTTAGCTCCTCTCTAAATGCTTGATAGAATTCACCTGTGAAGCCATCTGGTCCTAGGCTTTTGTTTTGTGGAAGACTTTTAATCACAGTCTGAATTTCAGTGCCTGTGATTGGTCTGTTTGTATTTTCTATTTCTTCCTGGTTCAGTCTCGGAAGGTTGTGCTTTTGTAAGAATTTGTCCATTTCTTCCAAGTTGTCCATTTTATTGGCATATAGTTGCTTGTAATAATCTCTCATGATCCTTTGTATTTCTGCAGTGTCAGTTGTTACTTCTCCTTTTTCATTTCTAATTGTATTGATTTGAGTCTTTTCCCTTTTTATCTTGATGAGTCTGGCTAATGGTTTATCAATTTTGTTTATCTTCTCAGAGAACCAGCTTTTAGTTTTACTGATCTTTGCTATTGTTTCCTCCATTTCTTTTTCACTTATTTGTGATCTGATCTTTATGATTTCTTTCCTTCTGCTAACCTTGAGGGTTTTTTGTTCTTCTTTCTCTAATTGCTTACGGTGTAAGGTTAGGTTGTTTGAGATTTTTCTTGTTTCTTGAGGTAGGATTGTATCGCTATAAACTTCCCTCTTAGAACTGCTTTTCCTGCATCCCATAGGTGTTGGGTCGTCGTGTTTTCATTGTCATTTGTTTCTAGTTTTTTTGTTTTGTTTTGTTTTGTTTTGTTTTTTGCGGTACGCAGGCCTCTCACTGCTGCGGCCTCTCCTGTTGCGGAGCACAGGCTCCGGACATGCAGGCTCAGCGGCCATGGCTCATGGGCCCAGCCACTCTGCGGCATGTGTGATCCTCCTGGACCAGGGCACGAACCCGTGTCCCCTGCATTGGCAGGCAGACTCTCAACCACTGCGCCACCAGGGAAGCCCTCTAGGTATTTTTTAATTTCCTCTTTGATTTCTTCAGTGATCTCTTGGTTATTTAGTAGGGTATTGTTTAGCCTCCATGTGTTTGTATTTTTTACAGTTTTTTTCCTGTATTGATGTCTAGTCTTACAGCATTGTGGTTAGAAAAGGTACTTGATACTATTTCAATTTTCTTAAATTTACCAAGGCTTGATTTGTGACCCACGATATGATCCATCCTGGAGAATGTTCCATGAGCACTTGAGAAGAAAGTGTATTCTGTTGTTTTTGGATGGAATGTCCTATAAATATCAATTAAGTCTATCTTGTTTAATGTATCATTTAAAGCTTGTGTTTCCTTATTTATTTTCATTCTGGATGATCTTTCCATTGGTGAAACTGGGGTGTTAAAGTCCCCTACTATGATTGTGTTACTATCAATTTCCCCTCTTATGGCTGTTAGCATTTGCCTTATGTATTGAGGTGCTCCTATATTGGGTGCATAAATATTTACAATTGTTATATCTTCTTCTTGGATTGATCCCTTGATCATTATGTAGTGTCCTTCTTTGTCTCTTGTAATAGTCTTTATTTTAAAGTCCATTTTGTCTTATATGAGAATTGCTACTCCAGCTTTCTTTTGATTTCTATTTGCATGGAATATCTTTTTCCATCCCCTCACTTTCAGTCTGTACGTGTTCCTAGGTCTGAAGTGGATCTCTTGTAGACAGCATATATACGGGTCTTTTTTGGTATCCATTCAGGCAGTCTATATCTTTTGGTTGGAGCATTTAATCCATTTACATTTAAGGTAATTATCGATATATATGTTCCTATTACCATTTTCTTAACTGTTTTGGGTTTGTTATTGTAGTTCTTTTCCTTCTCTTGTATTTCCTGCCTAGAGAAGTTCCTTTAGCATTTGTTGTAAAGCTGCTTTGGTGGTGCTGAATTCTCTTAGCTTTTGCTTGTCTGTAAAGTTTTTAATTTCTCTGTCAAATCTCAATGAGATCCTTGCTAGATAGAGTAATCTTGGCTGTAGCATTTTCCCTTTCATCACTTTAAATATGTCCTGCCACTCCCTTCTGGCTTGCAGAGTTTCTGCTGAAAGATCAGCTGTTAACCTTATGGGGATCCCCTTGTATGTTATTTGTTGCTTTTCCCTTGCTGCTTTTAATATTTTTGCTTTGTATTTAATTTTTGATAGTTTGATTAATATGTGTCTTGGCATGTTTCTCCTTGGATTTTTCCTGTATGGGACTCTCTGCGCTCCCTGTACTTGATTGACTATTTCCTTTCCCATATTAGGGAAGTTTTCAAATATAATCTCTTCAAATATTCTCTCAGTCCTTTTCTTTTTCTCTTCTTCTTCTGGGACCCCTATAATTCGAATGTTGGTGCATTTCATGTTGTCCCAGAGGTCTCTGAGACTGTCCTCAATTCTTTTCATTCTTTTCTTTTTTTATTCTGCTCTGTGGTAGTTATTTCCACTATTTTATCTTCCAGGTCACTTATCCTTTCTTCTGCCTCAGTTATTCTGCTATTGATTCCTTCTAGAGAATTTTTAATTTCTTTTATTGTGTTGTACATCATTGTTTGTTTGCTCTTTAGTTCTTCTAGGTCCTTGTTACATGTTTCTTGCATTTTCTCCATTCTATTTCCAAGATTTGGGATCATCTTTACTATTATTACTCTGAATTCTTTTTCAGGAAGACTGCCTATTTCCTCTTCATTTGTTTGGTCTGGTGGGTTTTTACCTTGCTCTTTCATCTGCTGTGTATTTCTCTGTCTTCTCATTTTGCTGGGTTTGGGGTCTACTTTTCACAGCCTGCAGGTTCGAAATTCCCGTTGTTTTTGGTGTCTGCCCCCAGTGGGTAAGGTTGGTTCAGTTGGTTGTGTAGGCTTCCTGGTGCAGGGGACTGGTGCCTGTGTTCTGGAGGATGAGGCTGGATCTTGTCTTTCAGGTCAGCAGGACAGCGTCTCGTGGTGTGTTTTGGGGTGTCAACTTATTATGTTTTTAGGCAGCCTCTCTGATAATGGGTGGGGTTGTGTTCCTTTCTTGCTAGTTGTTTGACATGGGGTGTCCAACATTGGAGCTTGATGGTCATTGAGTAGAGCTGGGTCTTAGCGTTGAGACTGAGATATCTGGGAGAGCTCTCGCTGATTGATATTACGAGGGGCCAGGAGGTCTCTGGTGGACCAATGTCCTGAACTCGGCTCTCCCACCTGAAAGGCTCAGGCTTGACACCTGGCTGGAGCACCAAGACCCTGTCAGCCACATGGCTCTACTCACAAAGGGTAAAGGGGTGCCTCAGCAAGTCGAGCAGGTCCTTTCACCCCCCTCCATCTCTTCTTTTCTCCCTTATTTCCTTCCTCCCTTCCTTCCTTCCTTCCATCCTTCCTTCCTTTCCTCTTTCTCTCCTTACTGTCTTTCAATAAATATTTAGAAAGGCTACTATGTTCCAGGTACTGTGACTATAGGCAGAAATTCCTACCCTTGTGAAATTGACAACATAGTGGGGGAGAGAGGCAATAAACAAGACAAATAATTAAAATGCAATCGTATCTTAAATAGTGATTCATGATAAGGAAAAAAATAAAGCAGGAAGGGGAACAGGAAGCATTAATGGTGGCAGTGGGGGTTTGCCGTTTCAGACAGAGGGCAGGGAAAGCCTTACTGAAAAGCAGACAGCTGAGTCCAGACCTGAAGGAAGCGAGGTGCCAATCCTTAGTAGATAGAGGTGTCCCTTTTCTCTAAGGACCTCTTGCAGACCTAACACCCTTAACACACCTTGGGGGAATGACTTCCTTGAATGGAAAATGAGACCCTGAAATGTAGAAAAGAGGCTTTGTCCACTGTAAACTTGGACATACAATGGAAATGTTCCCTGTTCCCTAACCCCTCTCACCCCCAGCCCACATAGGGCCGCTGTCCCTCTTTTGTGCTCCCACAGGGCCCTGGGCTTTGCTATCACACTCTATTTTAACCCACTGACCGGGAGCTCTTCCAGGCCCTGGTATACAGTAGGTGCTTAGTAAAAGTTTGCTGATGAAAGGTAAGAAGGAAGAAAGGAAGGAAGGAAGGGAGCGGGGTAAGGACATCTTAAATTTTCCCATGTCACCCACACAGAAAGACCTCCTCCAACCATCCTCCCTCCTCTCTCCCCTTGTCTGCTTTACTTTTCTTTGTAGTGCTTTTCACTCTCTGAAATTATATTACATATTTATATGTTTACTTGTTTATTGTAACTTCCCCTCCTCCAGAAAAATGTAAGTTACTTGGAAATAGGGAACTTGGCTGGTGGTTCACCACTGCACCCCCAGTCCCTAAAGCCGTGCCTTGCAAATGGTGGAACCTCAATAAATACCTGAATGAGTGGATCAGTCAATCAATAAATCAAGAACCCTGAGATATGCCACTTGCTGTCTATAAGAAATTGGGCAAGCAATGGACCCTCTCTGTGCCTTAGTTTCCTTATCTGTAAAGTGGGAATAATAAAATACCTTCTTTGTAAAGTTAGTATGAGAATTAAATGTGATAATTCATGTAAAGTACTTAGACTAGTGACTGCCACATAAAAAGCACTCAAGAACAATTACCTTTTGAATTATTATTTCTGCCTGAATCCCTCCAGCAACAGGGAACTCACTACCTGAGTATGGTTAGAGCAACTACTCCAACCCCCCAAGGACTCCCCAGAGCCCTTCCTCCCTGCAGGCTTCCCAGCACTGCCCCAGCCTCAGTTAACCTGTGCAACCCTAGGGTGGCCCCCTTGAGGGAAGAAGACAACCCCATTTCCATTGTGCAGGTTGGACTCGACACATAAGAAATGTCATGAGCATCTGAACTTTTTTGGAGTGAAGGCTTACTCTGAGGGTAAAAGCTAGTGCAGTTGGGCAAAACACAGCTGAAATCAACTAGAGGAACTTCTCCCTCCATTTTAGACATGCTTCTTTTCTAGGGGAACTTGCCTTTGAAGAATTCACCATCAGGTAGTAAAGCATGAACAGGATTTTTAGAACAAAGATTGTTTTTTGGGGGGCTTTGTCAGATGTAGATTCTCGAATCTTCAAGATTGAAGTCAGGATCTGAATGGCTTCTGCTTCCTGGGCTTCATCTGCGATGGAAAGAAAGGGAGGAAAGAAGAAACAGGCCCTAGGGCAGCTGCATCTACCCTCAAGGATAAGCACCCTGTTAGGGCACCTGTCCTTCAGGCAGTTCACCAGCTCTGCCCACCCTGTCATTATCAGAGTAACCTAAAAAAACCAAAACAAAACAAAAAACAAAACTCATTCCTACAGGTCCTAGCGTTGCCTAGCTTTCTTTCTTTCAGAGTCCTAAACTAGATCTCTTAGGTCCCCAATACAGGGAATTTGTCATGGTGGGATTTCTTGGGTCCAACTCAACTTCCATTCTATAGCAAGAGGAGGGAGCCGGGGCTTCTGGCAGCCACAGCACCTTAATTCCTCTTCCCCAAATCCAAAGATGCTTAAGCAGTAGCCTTTCTGCTTTTCCCCATGTGAGGCTAAGCTTAGAGAAAAAGACAGAAAAGACATACACTGTAATGTTAAGGTTGGCTGTCTTTGGATAGCTATGTTTTCTGAGTTTTCTACTTTAACGTGAACTGCTTTTATAATAAGAGAAAATTCAATAAAATTACTAATTTTTTGAATCTTAGCTCAAAACTTCTCCTCCAAGAAGTCTTCCCTCTTCAACACCATCCAACTGTCCTCACCTCTTCATTCTGGGACTCAGCTTGTAATATAATTTGTACTTGTAGAAGTTTTCCTTCCTTTCACATAGTTTCTGTCTCACCCACTATACTATATGTCTCTTTTGAGAAGAAACTAGATCTTCCATCGCTTTTTACGATCTCAGAGGGAATGATGCTGTACTCAGCCTTCAGCCCTTTGCTGAGCTGTGGGTAGAGAGATGAATCAGACTCAGCCCTGCCACTGAGAAGTTCACTGTCCAGTAAAGGAAGAGGATAAGGCACCAGAACAAATGAGCAATGGGACTTCCGTGTGGAGTCTGGAGGGATAACACATAAAAAATGGATGCTCTGCAGGAATCTCAGGGGGCTCTGGCAGGGTCTTTTGTTTCTCCAGATCTGTCCCTTATTAACTCCCTGCAAGGCTGTGTGTGACGCTAGGGACCTGGATTCTTCCCACCGCTGGTCAAATCTCTTTGATCCTCCTGTCTCAGTTTGCCCATTGGCAAAATGGGAAGGTGGCACTGATGTGCCCCACGACAGGCACAGCTGCTCTCCCTCTGAGGGGAAAAGTCTGTGGATCAGAAGAGATGAAGTCACTGCTCTGCTTCCTGGGGAGAACTGCCACTTACCCAAGCCAGTGTCGGTCTCAAATTGTCTGCCTAGTAGATCTACTTGTTGGGTGCGAGCCTGTGAGAGGACTTGATAGTGATTGTTCAAATATTTATTCCAGATCTCAGAGACCTGTTGGGAAAGGAGATGGTAATCAGACAAGCAAGCTGGACTTTAGCCGTTGGACCAGCCAGCTGAGAGGGCAGCACCTCTGGCCAGGCTTCCTGCCGGTCGGCAGACTCCCTCTCTCATTGTGCCTGAAGGCAGTGGGAGCCTTAGGAGCCCAAAGGTGCTTGGCCAAGGTAAGTGTGACAAGTGTTGGGCTGCAAAGGGCACACGGAGGGCTGATCTGGGGACAACCCTGGTGGGGTCTAATTACAATAGCTACCATGTGTTGAGCATATACAACTACCTTTACATCCACCCAACATCCCAATTACGGTCGTATTCTTATTACTCCCATTTCATAGATCAATAAACTGAGGTTCAGAAAAGTTAAGATCGCTCTTGACTTTTGGTAAAAGCTGCTATGTGGCACAGCCAGGATTTAAATTCAAGTCTGCCTGATTCCAAAGTTCATTTTTTTTTCAGCTGCACAACAATGCCTCTTCTTCAGAAGTGGGTCTAAAATAAGAATAAACAGTCACCGCTTGACAACCTATACCACACACAGAAATTGTTGTTTGCTAAGTAAGGTGTTATTATATGAAGATAACCAACATTTTAATATATTGGAAACAGTTTTTTAAGGAAGGTCCATACTGTTCTCCATAGTGGTTGTATCAATTTACATTCCCACCAACATTGCAAGAGGGTTTGCTTTTCTCCACACCCTCTCCAGCATTTATTGTTTGTAGATTTTTTGATGATGGCCATTCTGACCAGTATGAAGGGATACCTCATTGTCGTTTCGATTTGCATTTCTCTAATAGTTAGTGATGTTGAGCACATTTTCATGTGTTTGTTGGCCATCTGTATGTCTTCTCTGGAGAAATGTCTATTTAGGCCTTCCACCCATTTTTTTTTTTTTTTTGCGGTACTTAGGCCTCTCACTGTTGTGGCCTCTCGCGTTGTGGAGCACAGGCTCCAGATGCGCAGGCTCAGCGGCCATGGCTCACGGGCCTAGCTGCTCCGTGGCATGTGGGATCTTCCAGGACCGGGTCACGAACCCATGTCCCCTGCATCGGCAGGCGGACTCTCAACCACTGCACCACCAGGGAAGCCCCACCCATTTTTTGATTGTTTGTTTTTTTGATATTGAGCTGCATGAGCTGTTTGTATATTTTGGAGATTAATCCTTTGTCAGTTGCTTCATTTGCAAATATTTTCTCCCTTTCTGAGGGTTGTCTATGACCCAGCAATCCCACTCCTGGGCTTATATCCTGAGAAAACCATAATTCAAAAAGACACATGCACACCAATGTTCACTGCAGCACTACTTACAATAGCCAGGACATGGAAGCAACCTAAATGCCCATCAACAGCCGAATGGATAAAGAAGATGTGGTACATATATACAATGGAATATTACTCAGCCATAAAAAGGAACGAAATTGGGTCATCTGTAGGAGATGCATGCACCTAGAGACTGTCATACAGAGTGAAGTAAGTCAGAAAGAGAAAAACAAATATCGTATATTAACACATATATGTGGAATCTAAAAAAATGGTATAGATGGTCTTATTTGCAAAGCAGAAATAGAGACACAGATGTAGAGAATAAACGTAGGGATACCAAGGGGGAAGCTGGGGTGGGATGAATTGGGAGATGTGGATTGACATATATACACTATTGATACTATGTATAAATAGGTAACTAATGAGAATCTACTATAGAGCACAGGGAACTCTACTCAATGCTCTGCGGTGACCTAAATGGGAAGGAAATCCAAAAAAGAGGGGATATATGTATACATACTTCACTGTACAGTAGAAACTAACACAACACTGTAAAGCAACTATACTCCAATAAAAATGTTTTTTTAAAAAGAGGAAAATATTGTATAGACTTGACAATCTACAATTGGAATAGATACATACTATTCTAAAAGATTTAAATTAAAACTATTTAAAATTAAAAAAAAAAAGTCTAGCACTTTAGACTCCGTCAAGGTCATCTTCTCTTGCAACTCAGCCCCAAATCATCTGAAAGTAAATATATATATATATATATATATATATATATAAACAGTTTAAAATCTTTCACAGGTAAAGATGGACATTTTAAAGTACTTTCATGTTCTTTGATCCCTTCACAGGACCTTTCAACAATTAGTTTCGCTTAAAAACTTCATCTCCTCCTTTATCCCACACCTCGATATGCCCACATTAGCTTGCTCCTACGGATATGACAGGGTATCTGGCAGCCTATTTGGAGGGGTTTGGTTCTTAATGGCCCATAAGCTATTATTTGTTAATTGCTCTATTGATGCTAAGGACTAAACTATTTTGGTAGTGGAGAAACCGGAAGAAAAGTGGAATATATCATGAATCAAGCTATGTGATTTTGGGCAAGTCACTTCATCTGTCTGTGCCTCGAATATCTCATGAATGGTCTGACACCAGTTGTAAGATACAAGGCCTAAGTATCAAGGCTCAGCTCCCATATTCCCCAGCTCACCTTGGTGTACAATGTGTCTGCCAGGTCCAAATTTTTAAGGCCATAGAAGATATTAGCCAGGTAGAAGTAGCCTCCTGAGGTCCTGATGTGCTCTGTTCCAAATGCGCAACTGGCGAAATAAATCTATAGCAGAAGGAAGAAAGAGAGTGCTTGAGTTTTCTTTGTAAATCATATATCTTATAAAGGAGTTGTATCCAGAATCTATAAAGAACTTTTACAACAGCTCAGTTAAAACATGGGTAAAGGATCTGAACAGATAACATGTCACCAAAAAGATACACCAATAGCTAAAGCACATGAAATGATGCTCAACATTATTAGTCACTAAGGAAATGCAAAATAAAACCCACAACGAGATACATCTTCACACACACTAGAACCGCTCTAATCAAAGAGACAGAAAATAACACTTCTTGGCAAAGTTGTGGCAAAAGCGGAACTCTTGTACATGCTGGTGGGAATATAAAATGATGCAGCCTCTGTGGAAAACAGTTTGGCAGTCCTCAAAAAACTAAACATAGTTTTACCACATGACCGAGCAACTCTATTCTTAGGTACATACCCAAGAGGAATGAAGACACGTCTTCACACAAAGACTTGTACACAAATGTTCACAGCAGTATTATTCATAATAGACAAAAAATGGAAACAACCCAAATGTCCATCAACTGGTGAATGGTAAAGAAATTGTGGTATATCCAGATGATAGCGATAAAAGGAATGAAATATTGATATATAAACAACGACACGGGTGAATTTCAAAATAATTACGCTAAGTGAAAGAAGTCAGATGCAAAAGTCATCATTTATTTAATAATGATTTAATATAAATCATTCATTTATATTAAATGTCCTAAAAAGGTAAATCTAGAAAGACAGAAAGTGGGAATGAGAAATGACTGCAAATGGATATGTGGGCTCTTTAGGGTGAAAACTGGATTATGTTGATGGTTGCACAGCTCTAAGTTTACTAAAAATCATTGAATTGTACACTTAATTGTACATACCATTGACTTTTATGGTATGTATCAATAATGCTGTGGTTTGGTTTGGTTTTTTTTTTAAGTGAGGCTGAGCTTGATCTAATTCTTAACTATGTGACCCAGCTCAAGAGAGAGTGTGCTTCTGATTGATTTGTTGAAGGCTGTGAAGCACAGAGAGGAAACACAAATGAAGAAGTGCATTGGTCAGGCTCCTAGGTGGAAGTAGATGGCACCCTCACAAGTATCAGTATTCCCTGAGGCTAGTATAATGAAAGGATTATTTACAGAGACGTGGAAGGGGTACGGAACCAACAAGAGTTAGTGAAGCACTAGGGACTATCAGTAGCAAGAGACCGTTTACAGTCCAAACTCCTGAGAAAACCAAGGGAGAAAGCAGGGTTACCAGGGCCCAGCAAGAGCTAGAGCTGTGGAGGAAGGCTACCTGACAGGAGCCATGGCCATGAGGAACACTGGCCCTGCAGGGACTGGGCTGGTGCAGAAAGGCAGCAGAGTAAATACCCCAACCTCTCTCTCCTCCCAACTTCCACTCCTCTGCCATGCCTTTCACTCTCCAAACCCAGTGAGGCCAGAGAGCAATGGAGTCTACCGAGGTCAGCCTCCCAGGGAAGAGTAGGGCAGAGAATGCATTTGGCGTAAGGGGATATGGAGAATAACCAGCACAACAATGTTTCCAGCAAATTTAGGGGCATCGTGCAGTGGCAGGCAACCAGAGGGAGGGTTGCCCAGTGGAGAGGCTGAAGAGAGACCCAGTCTGCACGGAGACTGCAGTCTGCTTCTAACCTCATCCAAGTTTCAGGCTCAGGAACTCTTCCCTCCGGTAATATTGTCCAATACTGAAATCCTAACAGAAACCTCATGAACGTGGGAAGAACAGCTCAGTCATCACCCTCGTCAACCTATCTAACATTGGTACAGAGTTTTAGAGTTTATAAAGCACTTTCATACACCTCCAGCTCATTTAAATGTAATAACCACACTCTGTAGTAGAGACGTTCATGTTATTTATCAAAATCACAGCCAAAGTACTGCCCATGTTGGGCCCTCTTATTCATCTCTGCAATGACCCAATGAGGCAGAGACTATTTTATGATTACTGTCTTACAGGTGATGAAAGACGTTAAATAATTTATCCAAGTCTGTGTGGCTGGTGAAATGGCAGAGCTGGGACCAGGAGTAAAGCCCTGCTCTTAACCAGGATGCTCTTCTGCCTCCCTTTATCATCCCCCAAGCAATTGAGGCTTGGGAAGTGATGTGACCTGGACAAGGATGCACAGGCAGAAAGTGGAAAGTCTTGAATTCAGGTCGTTAGAATTGTGTTCTTGCTAATACTCCACCAAACAGACAGTTGTACACAGAAAGTTTCAGAGAAATGCTCAGTAAAAAGAAAACAACAACAAACAAACAGAGCTGTTCTCAGAAACAATCAGGTGTTATTAATTTGTTTACATCATTGGCCAGATGATAACGGGCTTCCTCATAGTTTTCCTTAGCCATGTAGAGAAGCCCCAGGTTCCGATGCAGTAAGGAGTGGGTGGCATGACAACATTCAGCCGATTTGAGGACTGTCCACTGCGCTTGGGATAGATACTCCTCAGCCTGGACGATCCGGCCCAGACCTGCCCAAAAGAAATAAAGATTATAATCCATATCCTAGCCAGAGAACACATGATGAAATACGAGTCATCACCTATTCACTCATTCATTCATTGACTTGAATACTTACTGACACACAAAAACTTGTACGTGAATATTCATAGCAGCCTATTCATATTAGCCAAAATATTGAAACAGCTTAAATGTTGGTCAACTGATGAGTAAATATACAAAGTATAGTCTTTCCCTATTCATGAGTGGCATATTATTCAGGCACTAAAGGAATAAAGTACTGATACATACTACAACATGGAAGAACCTTGAAAACATTATACTGAGTGAAAGAAGCCAGACACAAAAGGCCACACATTGTATGCGTTCATTAATATAAATTTTCCAGAATAGGCAAATCAGAAAGTGGATTGATTAGTAAGTGGCCCAGGACTGTAGGCATGGGAACTGAGGTATGACTGCTATTGGTATTGGGTTTCATTTTGGGGTGACAAAAATGTTCCCGAATTAGATGTGATGATGGTTGCACAATCTTGTGAATATACTAAAACCACTGAATTGTACTTTAAAGGGGAGAATTTTATGGTACATGAATTATATCTCAATTTAAAAATATATGTATATGTATATTTGATACTTTTTATGTGCCAGACCTTGTGTTAAGGGATAGGAATTCAAAGATGAATCAAAGCCATTACTCCTGAAAAATGTACAGCTTGGTTGGCGGAATGGAGACATGAAAACAAGTATATTTGTAATATAGTGTAAATGCAATGATAGTAACGTTATAAGGTTTGGAAGCGGAAGAGAGTAGGAAGTGTTTAATTCTTTGGATGGGGTAGAGAAGGACAATGGAGTGGGGAGAGGCATGGTCAGTGTTATGGACTGAATGTTTGTGTTCCCCCCAAATTCATATGTTGAAGCCCTAATCCCTAATGAGACGGTATTTTGAAGTGGGCCCCTTGGGAGGTAATTGGGTCATGAGGGTGGAGCTCTCATGAATGGGATTAGTGCCCTTATAAGAACAGACAAGAGAGAGATGATCTCTCTTTTGGCCATGTGAGGGTATAGCAAGAAAAGGCAGCTGTCTACAAGTTAGGAAGTGTGTTCTCACCAGACACCAGCTCTGTTGGCACCTTGATCATGGACTTGTAGCCACCAGAACTGTGAGAAATAAATGTTTGTTGTTTAAGCCACCCAGTCTATGGTATTTGTCATAGCAGCCAAGCTAAGATAGTCAGAAAAGTCTGAGCTAAGTTTTGAGGATGAATATAAGTTTTCTAGACAGTTAAGGGAGGGAGGGCATCTCAGGGAGAATTAACACATATGCAAAGTCATAGAGATATGAAATGGTGTGCTGTGCTTAGAGAACTATATGTTGGCCTGTGATGCTGGCGCACAAAGTATAAGGGATCAAGTGGCAGGAAATGAGGCTAAAGAGGTAGGCAGGGCACAGATCACGGAGGGCTTAGGAAGTCGTGCCAAGGAGCTTGATGCATGTGGATAAAAACTAGAGGATTTTCAGAAAGGGAGTGATAACTGGATTTAGATTTAGAAGAGTCCTCTGGCACTATGCCAAGGAGAGACCAGAAGGGAGGAGGAAAAGGAAAACACTCACTAGAAGACTTTTGAAATAGTTCAGGCATGTACTAGACCCTGAACTAAGGCAGCGAATGAAGATGGAGTATATAAAAGAGACATTCAGGAGCTAGAATGGTTATGTGGTTAACCATTTCATGTGGTTAAGCGAAAGTCACCTTTATTTCTAATATTCAAATACTCTTGACACTTAACTCTTTTTGTTTAGTTGTGAAAGAAAAAAAAAAAGGTCATGAAGAACCTAGCGTGGGAAGGGTAAGCTGTGACAAAGTGAGAGAGTGGCATGGACATACATACACTACCAAACGTAAAATAGATAGCTAGTGGGAAGCAGCCGCATAGCACAGGGAGATCAGCTCGGTAGTTTGTGACCACCTAGAGGGGTGGGATAGGGAGGGTGGGAGGGAGGGAGACGCAAGAGGGAAGGGATATGGGAACATATGTATATGTATAACTGATTCACTTTGTTATAAAGCAGAAACTAACACACCATTGTAAAGCAATTATACTCCAATAAAGATGTTAATAAAAAAAGACAAGAAAAAAAAAAAAGAAGATACGTAATAGTTTCCTGCCTACACTTGCCTCCTAGGAAGGTTGTCAGAAGTGAGCAGAAAACTACTTTGAGAACGTTCTGCAGAGCAGGAGACATGCCCTGCGTGTGAAGGGTTCTGTGTGATGGGTGCTGCAGCAGAAATGGCATCAGTAAAGGGTCAGGAGATGAAGACACGGATCCCTCACAAGTCAACCTTCTGTTCTTCTTGTGCTTCCTCCCAGGCCTACTTCACATGTAAGCATTGCTTTATTCTGGTTGTAATCATACCTCTCTGAATTACAGGAGAGGTGAGGAAGAAGCAGTCAACAAGAGGTAGCAAGTAACTGCCTGACCGATGCTCACACTAAAATGGGAAAATATTAGATCAGAATCAAGGGGCCATGGCCCATGATCCTGGCTCATGTTCCTTAAATAGGCGAGCCACATTTTCCATCTGGGTTTTGCTTAAAAAAATAAGAGCTTCAGACTGAGGCCCTATCAAATTTAAGGAAGCAAATGACTCTTAGCTAAGACATTTATCTTGGGAAACAATTGGTAGGGGGCATTGATATATATTGGAAATTTACATGTTTCGTTGTCCAGTTCTCATTTACAGAGGTATTGCTGAAAAAAGGAAGGCCCCCAGGTCAAGCTGAACCACATCTAAACAAGCATCAGTCCCAAAGGAAAAAGCCTACTTGCGAGCAAAAAACTACAAGGCTGCATATACAGAGAGCAGGGTATAATGAGGTGAGAAGAACAAGCTGTGACAAGCGGGTCAGAACTAAGATTGTGACCAGTGAGTGGGTAAGTTCAGGCATGCCCTCCAACATACAGTGCTTACCTGGAGAGGTGTAGGGATGGAGTAGAGGTAACAGAGACCTAAAGTTGCCAAAGGAAGTGAGACTACCCTGAAGGGTGACTTTCAGGGTATATGCAGTAGAGACAGAAGGGATGGCCAATTCATGGAGCAGTGGTGCTTGTCTTAAGGGTGAGACACAGCAGGCTCACACTGGGTTAGTGGCAGATCTGAGAGACATTATGGGGGAAGATTTTGCAGGACTTGCAGATGAAAGTAAAGGAGCACAGAATAAAACAGTCACAGACGATTCAAAGGTGTGGCTGTGAGGCACTCAGGGGAAGCAAAAGGAATCATTTACTGAGGGCCTGCCTTACCCTATGCCTTACACTAGGCTAGGCCATCTGCATCTGGGATTTAAGTCTGCCAACAATCCTGCAAAAGAAATATCAGAGGAGGAAACCGCGCATTCATTCAACCCTATAAACCCTATATTCATCTAATCTGTTGGGTCTCTACCACTCTGAGGGATGCTGAGTGCATGCTGGATCCCTGACCTTAAAAAGTTCACAGCTGAGCGAATTCGTTACACAATAAAGAAACAAAAAATGAAGTGATAGGAAGGAAATGGACAGAACACAGTGATCAAAAAAGGCACGGAGAAACCTACTTTGGATGATTAGGGAACACCTCTCTGAGAATGTGGCGTTTAAGCAGGTACCTGAAGGTTGAAAAGAAATCAGCCATATAAGAGGGAGAAAACAGCATTCCAGGTGGTATGTGTGAGAGCCCTAAGGTAAGAAAAAGCTTGATGACTAGGATACACGGCTAGTAAAGAGTTGGAATTTGGGCTTCCCTAGTGGCACAGTGGTTGAAAGTCCGCCTGCCGATACAGGGGACACGGGTTCATGCCCCGGTCCGGAAAGATCCCACGTGCCGCGGAGCGGCTGGGCCCGTGAGCCATGGCCGCTGGGCCTGCACGTCCCGAGCCTGTGCTCCGCAACGGGAGAGGCCACAACAGTGAGAGGCCCGCGTGCCGCAAAAAAAAAAGAGTTGGAATTTATTACCTAGATTCTCCCGGTTCCAAAACACTAAAAACAGTGGGGGAGGATGAGTAAGGTGGCTCCTCCTTGAAGAGTTACTGAAAATGTCATTTCTAGTGCGTTAAAATTCCAAAGTTTTACTTTGAAAAAAAGTATGAATGCCTCTTATTTTTCCACTCCAGTCTGGAGGAATCTCTAAGGTGGGAGAGGCATGTCCACAGGGGATGTGATTTATTTAGACTTTCAAAAAGGTTGGCAAGGTTTTAAATCAGTAACTGTGGGAGTTAGAATGAAACCTTCCATTTAGACAGCACTTTTCTGCTTGCAAAGCACTTTCCTGTCCGTTATACATAAATTCATTTAAACCTCAAAACAATCCTGTGAAGAGGACTCAGATTCAACAAATGCTTACATAGTTCCCATTTAGGTGTCAGGTTCTAAGGAGTTTTTGAGTACCTTCCCTGCACTAAGTACTGTGCTGGATGTAAAGACACTCCGAGGAGAAAGAATAGACAGAGTCCCAGTTCTCCCTGAACTTATGGTCTAGTGCAGGAGAGGAACTTTAATTAAATAATGTCATAAAAAATGTTTAATTATTATCAAAGTAAGTGCCCAGAAAAAAGAAAGAGGTTTCTAAGTGGATACATAAAAAGAGACCTGACCCAATCTGGGGGCTTGGGAAAGGGTTCTAATCAGGGGGTGGTGACTCAAGCTGAGACCTGAAGGATGAATAGGAGTTAGTTAGGTGAAGGGGAGGGGAAGAGAAGTGGGGGGAGTGGCTAGAGAAGAACCTTCCAGAACAAGGAAGCATCACGGTGCTTCTGAGGAACCGAGAGAAGGCCAACACAACTGAAAGGGAGAGAGAAAAGAATGAGAGGTGAGGTGAGAGAATTCATAAAGGCTGGACCAAACAGGGACTCATAGCTTGCTTTGGGAACTTGGTCTTTATTTATTGGAGTGACTTGGTCACATTTTGTTTGGAGACCAGCTTGGAAGGAGGCCAGGGAAGATGTGCAGAGACCAGCTGGCAGGTAGTAATCCAAATAAAACATGATGGGATTTAGGCTAGGGTGACTTTTCCAAAATCCCATAGCTAGTCAGTGTCAGAGATAAAGAGAGCCTGGGCTGTATTTCCTTGTCCGGTGCTCTTCCACTAGCTTGGGAGGAGGCACAGTGCAGAATGGGGAGTCAGATCTGAGTAGGGTAAAGAGGGCATTCTTGCAGCTAAGTGGCCTGGTATGAAGTCGGAGCCCAAACCAGTGAGGAGGGGGTCCATACAGAAGAGGCATCCCAGAATAGGAGTCAGAGCCCCCAAAAGGAGAGGAGGGCATCTGCAAGGGGAAAGGATAGGATTGGAGATGGGAGGTTGGCTCATACAGGGTAACCAATTAAATATATAAATACATCAATGAAAATGGAAGCCAGCATTCTCACTGTCAGAAAAAGGAGCTATAAACATGGAATGGGAGAAAATGAGATTGAACCCTATGGATTTAAATGTACTCCTATGGACCCATGACCATATACAGATACAGATGTAGAGACGGAGATGGAGATTTAGAAATAATGCGTATATACACCTTATTATATTTACACATGTTCCCTAATTCTGTCCATTGAGAAGCCTGGGAGCAGCCATACCTCAATAGCAACGAGTATGTCCAGTGCACAACTCTTGGCTTCTAAATTCAATTTTCTGCTAAAAGAACTCAGGGCTCCTTGGAGGTATGTTCCAGAAAGCAGGAAAGTGATCAAAGAACAATGGGGAAGAATTCCCTGGCAGTACAGTGGTTAGGACTCCACACTTTCTCTGCCTAGGGCTCAGGTTCAATCCTTGGTTGAGGAACTAAGATCCCACAAGCCATGTAGCCAAAAAAAAAAGAACAATGAGGATGTGTTAAGGAGACACAGAAGCCAGTGTGATGGGCTGCCACTTGCCAAATCAAGGACAGTTTGAACATCAAATTAATGATAGTAATGGATTGTAACCCACTAAATAAAACAGGGAAACAACAGTCTATGTTGATATAAATAAATAAATGAATTCATTGAAAGTTTGTTGAGGAATGGAATATTTATATAGTTCCAAATACCTCTCTATAAAATACTTATTCATTGCAAAGAGAAGAAAGAGTAACTTTACAGAGAAGAAGCCTGGCAGACACCACCTTAATAAAGTAACTTAAATGAACATCATCAATCATGGGACAAAATAAAAACATATGCCAACTTATAGGATGGGATGAGAAGAACATAGCATCACTTCAGTGATATTCCTGCCAAAGACACATCACCTCAGTCCAGTCATGAGGAAACATCAGAGAAACTCAGATTGAAGGACATTTTGTAAAATAATTGGCCTTTAATCTTTGAAGGCGTCCAAGTCATAAAAGTCAAGGAAAGATTGAGAAACCATTCCAGAATGAAGGAGACTAAGGACACATGGCAACAAAATGAAAAGTGTGATTCTGGACTCTACCCGTTTGCTGTAAAGATGTGATTGGGACAACTGGAAAAGCTGAATGGGGTCTGCTCAGTAGATAATCATGGATGATGGTTGTATTGTGGTCATGAAGATGACGTCTCTGTAGGAAATACCTACTGAAGTAGTCAAGGCATAGGGCATCAAGTAAGCAACTCACTCTCAGATAGTTTAGGGAAAAAGTTCTTTGTACTGTATTTCCTACAGTTTTACTTTTTAAAAAGTTTTTTTTTTAATAGTGGCTGTTAAGATATAAAGTAGTAGTACAGTACCTAAAAGGCTATCGATGCTCAAAAATGTTAATTCCCCTCAAAAATGCTAATTCTCCTGTTGTAGCAACCACCATGTGTGATGTCTGTGCCCTGATCTCAGAACTGCCTCTGCCGTCCATAGGAGCAGGTTCCTATTTTCGTGTTTGAACTATGTGACCCTGACACAAAGGTAGATACAGATAGATGCCGCCGTCAACCTGAGTCAACACAATTCTTTCTTCCAGGAATTTAACATTGGAAATCAGATGCTAATTAGTTTCTATAACCCACCTTGAACCTGGAGGATATGTAAATTCAATGTAAATTCAGCTACATCTGACATTTTGGGGTAGCTGTCTTCTGCAGTAAGAATAGGGTAGAAAAATCTGGTCTGCAGAGATGGAAAATAAAGCAGATGCAGAGAGAGAAACCTAGAAACAGAGACAAGAAACAAGACCCCAAGACCCAAGAGACAGAAACAGAGACCACCAGCCTTGGTTTGTTATAGCATTCTGAGTATAGTATCTCATGAAGTCTCACTTCCCTTAGGACACCTCAGCGTCCTAATAAATTTCCTCCTTTTGCTAAGGCCAGCTAGAGTGGATTTCGTTCAGTTTTACCAAGAAGTCCATGACATCTCCTTCCCCACCTTGTGCCAAACTTTACAGCAATCCTGCTCTTCCACAAAAGGTATCTTGGTGCCACTGCCAAAGCTGGGTGTTTTGGCCACTGATATGACCCAGTATAGCACTTCTTACAGGCTCCAGGGGGTCTCAAGTCAGTTTCACTTACCAAGGCTGGCCTCGGCCAACAGCAGGTAAGCAGGTACCAGCTCTACTGAACTCAGGCCATGAACACTCATGCGGAAGCGAAGAGAGTGCAAAGCTGCTGGGACAGCATCTTCATGTTTTCCTTCAAAGATATATTTCTGGGCTACGGTGTAGCAAAATTCGATCAAATGCTTCTGTGGAAAAAAAAACCTAGACTATCTGAGACAGTCTAAGGGTAAAAGGCAATGGTGGATATAGGTATACCTGGAGATAGGGCTAACACCTGATGACCTGCTCGAGAGCACACAGTGAGCCTGTCTGCATTGAGGCGGACATGAGGCCCAAAATAGGTGATTAAAAAGGCAAACTCTGGACTGTGAGTTCCTCAAGGTCCAGGAACAAGTATCTTCTCATCTTAGGTTGGTGCTTGGCATAAATGAGTGCTCAATATAAAATTATTAAATGATTATTATTCTTACATTTTTAATAAAATTTTAGTTTAGCAAAGCTGTAGTGTCTCAGGACAATCTAAAATGTTCTGCCTTTCTATTTGAGTTAATTTTGAAAGAAACATATTTTTCCTTCTGGAGTTATCCTGCTTCACCAATATCACTAATATTAACTAATATAATATTAACTAATATATTAACTAATATTAACTAATATAACTAATATTCACTAATGCTGCAGGTTTTCAGTAGATATGTGGAGATCAACAATGGTATTGAGGACATAAAGACATAAAACCCAGTCTCTGCCCTCAGAGGTTATAGTTTAGTGGCCTCGCACAGTACAACCTTTTCCCTGGGCAGGTTCTCTGCACCCGTGAGTTAACCCTGCAACCGTCCTGTGAGCCTTACCTGCCGCTGCTGCAGCTGCTGCAGGCCATGCTGCCGTTCTTCCTCTGAGTTGTAGAAGGGCATGGAAGTGCGCAGGGGAATCAGGAGCTGACATATCTTCTCATGGATGCTGCCCCAATCAGCTCTTTGATGAACCACACCACTGACAACGAAAACATGGACTTCATTTTCTTTACCTTTGGCTTGACCACTGATCCTCCTGGCCCTACTGCTGGCCCAGCCCTAGAAACTAGAAAAGTAAGCCCAACACAAACCAGGCAGGGAGCCCAAAGCCATTTCCGACACAAATCGCCTTTCCTTCACGTGGTTATTGGGTGGCGGTGCAAAAACCAGGGGTGTGGGAGGATGTTGTTTCTGCAGGCAGTTATATGTTGTGGTTATTCTGCTTTTCTTCTTCATTAATGACAACAAAGACAACTTTAACTCTGCATGGGTCTAAGGTCATTTTCAAAATATCTGAACACTGAAGCTGATGAATTTAAGGGTCTTTTTCTTAGGGGAAGGCAAGAAATTTACATTTGATGAGGCTCTAGGAGACACTTGCCCTGTAATTAGTATATATACCAATTATAGGTATATATATATATATATATGCCAGTTATAAGTGTATATATATATATATATATATATATATATATATATATGTTGCATGGCTTGGGAGAGCACCATTTGCATTGTCTTCTGTGCTCTAGGAGGGCCATTCACATAGAATACACTGTGAATGCCTTCCAGTCCTAGTGGTGCAGCAGGTGGTCATGAAAGTAACTGTTTAACTTTTTGAAAACAAGACAAAATCATTATTTTTTTAAGGTAAGGAAGCACGGGTGTCAAGAGTAAGTAGTTACTCTAGACCTGTACTCCAAAGCCGGTCATTTTTTAGCTCTCCAGAGGGAAGCATTGTGGCAGTTTGGTATACAGCTTTTCTGACTGTTTTATATGCATATTTAGTATTTTTTAAACACTTAATTGGACAGCACAAATATAGAACATTTGCATCACTGCAGAAAAATTCTATTGGACAGCACTCCTACAAAGAATCTACTCCCATTCTTTTTTTTTTTTTTATGGCCGTGCCACGTGGCTTGCAGGATCTTAGTTCCCCCAACCAGGGACTGAACCCACATCCTCAGTAGTGAAAGCCTGGAATCCCAACCACTGGGCCACCAGGGAATTGCCTCCTATTCCTTACATAATTGCCTCTATGAATGACTCCCAAGTCTATTACCTAATCTGACGCTTCCTCCAAATACGTTTATATAATTGATACATAATTGATATTGATATATAATTCACATACAATAAAAGTCATCCTCTTAAAGTGCACAGTTCAATGTTTTTATTATATTCATGAGGTCATATAGCCATCACCCTATCTAATTTCGGCATTTTCATCACTCAATAAAGAAACTCCATTTATTCTAGCAGGTACTCTCATTCTTCCCTCCAACCACTGTTGCCCAGGAGCCACTAATCTATTTTCTCTATGCATTTGCCTGTTCTGGACTTTGCATATAAACGGAAACAGACAATATGGCTTTTATGTCTGTATTCTTTACTACTGAATACTATTCCACTGAATGGCTATATCATTTTTTGTCTATCCATTCATCAGGCGGTAGATATTTGGGTTGTTTCCAGTTTTGGACTATTATTATTAATGAATATTTGTGTACAAGTTTTTATGCGAACATATGTTTTCAATTCTCTTGGGTACGCCTAAGAATGGAATTGCTGGGTTATACAGTAACTTTATGATTAAACTTTTGAGGACTGCCAAACTGTTTTAACATAGGTTGTACCACTTTACAATCCCACCAGTGATGTATGAGGGTTCCATTTTTTCTACATCCTCGTCAATGCTTGCTATTTTCTGTCCTTTTTTATTGTAGCCATTATAGTGTGTGTGAGGTAGTATATCATTGTGGTTTTATTTTGCATTCCCTTAATAACTAGTAATGTTGAGCATCATTTTATGTGCTTATTGGCCATTTGTATATCTTCTTTGAAGAAATGTTGATTCAAATCCTTTGCCCATTTTTTTAAACCAGGTCCTTTATCTTTTTATTTTTGAGTTTTAAGTGTTCTTTGCATATTCTGGATAATAGATCCTTAACATATATGATCCGCAAATATTTTCTCCAATTCTGTGGGTTGTCTTTTCACTTTCTTGATAGTGTGCTCTGATGCACAAAAGTTTTTCATTTTGATGGTGCCCAACTTATCTATTTTTCCTTTGGTTCCTTGTGCTTTCAGTGTCATATCTAAGAACTGTTCCCTAATCCAAGATCACACAGATTTACAACTATGTTTCCTTTGAAAAGTTTTATGTTTTTAGCTCTTATATTTAAGTCTTTTTGAACATGGTGTAACGTAGGGGTCCAAATTCTTCTTTTGCATATGGATATCCAGTTATCCCTGCACCATTTGGAAGTGACCATTCTTTTCTTAATTAAATGGTCCTGGCACCCTTGTTGAAAATCAATTGACCATACAATTAATCTACAACTAAGGAGACAAAAATATACAATGGAGAAAAGACAGTCTCTTCAAAAAGTGGTGCTGGGAAAATTGGACAGCTACATGTAAAAGAACATTCTCTAACAAACACCATATACAAAAATAAACTCAAAATGTATGTAAGACCAGAAACCATAAAACTCCTAGAGGAAAACATAGGCAGGAACACTCTCTGACATAAATCACAGCAATATTTTTTTGGATCTGTCACCTAAAGCAAGGGAAATAAAAGCAAAAATAAACAAATGGGGCCTAATTAAACTTAAAAGGTTTTGCACAGCAAAGGAAACCACTGACAAAATGAAAAGACAACCTACTGAATGGGAGAAAATATTTGCAAATGATATGACCATCATATATAATCCATCATATATAAATAGCTCATACAACTCAACATCAAAAAAACCAACAATCCAATTAAAAAATAGGAAGAAGAACTGAGTAGACAGTTCTTTCCATAAAAGGCATGTAGATGGCCAATAGGCACATGAAAAGATGCTCAACATCACTAATCATCAGCTAAGTGCAAATCAAAACCACAATGGCTATCATCAAAAAAGAACACAAGTAAATGTTGGATGCAGAGAAAAGGGAACCCTCATACACTGTTGGGGGAAATGTAAATTGGTGCAGCCACTGTAGAAGACAGTATGAAGGATTCTCAAAAAACTAAAAATAGAATTACCATATGACCCAGCAATTCCACTCCTGGGTATATAGCCAAAAAAAACCCCAAAAACATTCATTTGAAAAGATACATGAACCCCAATATTCATAGCAGCACTATTTTTGGCTATATACAACTGCCAAGATATGGAAGCAACCTAAGTGTCCATCATCACATGAATGGATAAAGAAGATGTGACATACACACACACACACACACACACACACACACACTGGAATACTACTAAGATAAAATGAATGAAATTTTGCCATGCAGCAACATGGATGGACTTGGAGGGTATTATGCTAAGTGAAACAAGTCAGACAGAGAAAGGCAAATACTGTAATGATATCACTTATATGTGGAATCTAAAAATTACAACAAATTAGTGACTATAACAAAAAAGAAGCAGACTCATTGATATAGAGAACAAACTAGTGGTTACCAGTAGGGAGAGGGGCAATATAGGGGTATAGGGTTAAGAGGTAAAAAATACTATGTATAAAATAAGTTACAGGGATATATTGTACAACATGGAGAATATAGCCATATTTTATAATAACTATAAATGTAATATAACCTGTATTTCAATTTTTAAAAACTGCAAAGAAAAAGGAAATCAATTGGCTATAGATGTATGTGCTTATTTTTGGACTCTCAATTCTATTCCATCAATCTATAGGTCTATCCTTATTCCAGTACCACACTATCTTTATTACTGTAGCTTTGTAGTAAATTTTGAAATTGAGAAATGTGAGTTCTCCAACTTTGCTCTTTTTTGAGATTTTTTTAGCTATTCTGGGTCCCTTTCATTTTCATATGAATTTTAGGATCAGAGTGTCCATTCATGCAAAAATGACAATTGGAATTTTTACAGGGATTGCACTGAATCTGCAGATCAAACTGTTTCATATTAAGTCTCCCAGTCTGTGAATATGAAATATCTTTCCACTTATTTAGGTTTTCTTTAATTTTGTTCAACAATATTTTGTATCTTTCCAGTGTATGTCTTGTACTTCTATGGTTATTCCTTTATTTAAAGTGCTATTGTAAATGGAATAGCTGTCTTAATTTCATTTTTAGATTGCTCATTGCTAGCATACAGAAATATAACTGATTTTTGCATATTTATCTTGTATATCCTGTAACCTTGCTGAATTCACTTATTAGCTCTAATAGTTTTTTTGTGGGTTCTTTAGGGGTTTCTCTATATAAGATCATGTCATCTGTGAATAGAGGTACTTTTACTCCTTCTTTTCCAAGCTGGATGCTTTTTATTTCATTGTCTTCCCTAATTGCCCCAACTAGAACCTCTAGTACAACGTTGAATAGAAGTGGTGAAAGTGACATTCTTGCCTCATTTCTGATTTTACAGGGGAAAGATTTTATAGACTTTGACTATTAAGTATGATGCTAATGTTGTGTTTCTCTATGGTTCTTTCATAGATACTCTTTACCAGGTTATAGAAATTCCTTTCTATTCCTACTTTGTTAAGTATTTTTATCCTGAAGGGTGTTGGATGTTGCCAAATGCTTTTTCTGTATCTATTGAGATGATTATATGATTTTTTTCTTTATTCTATTAAGATGATGTTTTATATTGATTGATATTCATATGTTGAACCAACCTTGAATTCCTGGGAGAAATTCCATTTGGTCGTGATATATAATTCTTTTTATATTCTGCTGGATTTGGTCTGCTAGTATTTTGTTAAGGATTTCTGCATCTATATTCATAAGGGATATTGGTCTGTAGTTTCCTTTTGATGTTTTTCTCTGGTTTTGGTGTTAGGATAATATTGGCCTCATAAAAAGTTGGGAACTCTTCCCTCTTCTTCTATTTTCTGGAAGAGTTTGTGAAGAATTGTTAAGTCTTCTTTAAATATTTGACAGAGTTCACCAGTGAAATCCTCCTGGGCTTTTCTTTGTGAAAAGTTTTTTGATTACTTAGCTAAATCTCTTTATTTATAGACCTACTCAGATATTCTACTTCTTCTTGAGTAGTTTTGGTAGTTTGTGTCTTATTAGGAATATATTTCATCTAGGACTTCAAATTTGTTGGCATACAATTGTACATAGTATTCTCTTATAATCCCTTTTATTTCTGTAAAGTTGGTAGCAATGTCTCCACTTTCATTTTCTTTTTTTAAATATTTACTTATTTATTTATTTGGCTGAGCCGGGTCGTAGTTGTGGCATGCAGGATCTTCGTTGAGGCATGCGGGATCTTTCATTGCAGC